GGAAGCAGCATGAATCCTTGGCCGCTACCTGCAAGAAGTGCTCTCCTAATCAGCCATTAGCCATTTTTTCTTGCATCGGCGGCGTCAGTTCCTCCAGAACGGAACAAGAACGACACATTGACGTCGCACGGCCTGGACACCACCTTGGCGCTGGCGGCGAGCCTGTCCACCGTCATGGCGCACCGAACCGTCACCGGCACGACCCACGTCCTCACGCCGCCGAGCTGCAGCCGCACGGGCACCGTGATATCCACGTCGAACGGCACCGATCGGAGCCGCTCCGCCGCGGCCATCTGCCCGCGCTGGCGCTCCGAGAACCGTATCCCGCTGCCCTTCGCCTTCGCCACGAACACCATGATGTTGCACGGCGCCTGGTAGAAGGCCGGCCACACGCCGTCCGCCAGGCTCACGCCCTCGTACGACACGGCGACGCGGCTCCTGGCGCCGTCGTAGTGCACGCCACCTTGCCGTTGGCGCTGTTGTCCGCGCGGACGGTCCTCCACACTGGCCGCGGCCGTCTTTAGCACGGCGTTCAGTGCTGGTATAGTGGTATGCTTATCGTGGACGTCCTATAGCTTTGAAGTCAATAGATGATCTCTTTGTTTTTGTACCATGGGACAGCACGCACTACGGCTCCTGTTCACCAGTGCACGTACCCAAACTTGAAGAGAGACCTGCAGCCTCCACACTGGCTGGTTCCAACTCATGACACGGTCCTTCTCGTTGAAGCATCGAACGACGTCTTCCATGCACATGAAGTTGAAGTCAACCGTGTACTCAAACCAAACTCTAAACTGGTGCCCTGTCTTTTCTCGAGAGCACACAAATTGTATGCCTTAGCTTTATAGAAGATAGAGAATAAAATACAAGGTGCCCTGTCACCTCCACGAGGAAAGGAATAGTGTGGCGGAACCATTGTCTGAAACAGTCAACAGCAAAGCAAGCAAATCAGCAATCATTAAGCAAAGGAAACGAATGTACAAATGTACTAAAACGGAGCACGTACCCGCCAAGTTACTTCTTGTCTCCGCACTGCTGCACAGCTTCATAGAAGACTAATGACAACTCGTCGTCGCTCTCCTCATGTCCCATGCCAACATCGAACGGTGAAGATCCAAACTCAACGACCATCAGCATCTGGTGCAGTGGGTTGGCTGAAATTTTGTTCATTTAAATTGTCGTTAGTTTTCTAACCAAATTACTCCCTCCGTAAACTAATATAAGAACGTCTAAATTACTATTTTAGTGATCTAAATACTTTTATATTAATTTACAGAGGGAGTACTATTCAAGGATCTGCACATCCCGGTTACAATTTTTTTTCTCATAGCCTGATAGGCACGCACCTGTGGAGCGCAGGCATTCAGATAAACATTCTAGACCTTGACAGCCGGCGTCATGCCGAAAGCCACAGGGTTACACCTCCTCATCTTGTTCTGTGTGAACAAACCACCCGGGCTGCTACTATAACGATCGAACATGGGACTGGTTGAGTTGTTTGCTGAGCTCAGATCATGATAGGGAACACCTGGGAACAAAATCATGGGAGATGAGTGCGGATTGATTAAAGAAAACGGTAGGGGGTTTTCTGCAAAAGTGCGTGCACTGACCGGTTCAACCACCTGACTGTCAATTGTCGAGCTGTGATTGGTCTGGGACTAAATCATCACATGATATGCAAGTTGGGGTATGGTGAAGTAAAGTTTTGCGAGTTTGAGACTAAATCATCACATTCATTGCAAGTTAGGGTACATGGAGTGCTATTACCTCGATATGGATCCATGGGCAGAAGCCATGCAGAAACAATCACGTCAAGTGATCAAGAAGAGATCCGCCTGCATGCGCCGTGCCATGATGTCCCGTCCAGATTTCCTGGTAGCCAGCTAGGCCTAGCTCTAGCTGCACCTTTCTCGTGATCCACTCCACACGTGATGCACTGTATGTCGCGTCACACGCTGGCTTCAGCCTTCCTTCCACACCAATTTTGTCATGGAACAGTACGTGGCTTGATTTGATTGGAACAAAATAAAGTCCGGCTCCATTTTCTTAAAATCTGGCAGAGATGATTAGGTTAGAAAGAAAAAAAGAAAAAAAACAACAACCGTAGAATGAATTAGGAGCATGGATGCGAGCATGAGAAGGGAGCAGACAAGCCGGATCCATCGAACAAAGTGCCCTATGTTAGTAGCATCTGATTTCCCGCAAACCGGCATAAAATCTAGGGAAGTTTGTGGGTGTCCAGACTAATGCCACGTAAGTGTCTGACTATGCGGTCCCATCAAAACTCATTGTCGTGCCTCCCGCTCTGGAAAAATCGCCACGCATTCATGTCGGTGGATCCACCTTTCTAGGTGGATCGTGTGGTGCCGCCCACGTTCTCCAAGGACTTCCTCCTCCACCACCCCGACGAACAAGGAGGAGATGATGCACTCCTGGGAATAGGAGGAGGCGCAACCGCAACTGCCCTTCCTCGCGAAAGACGCCGTGCCGGGACAGGAGTACCAGCTGCACCTAGAGCTCCTCCTCGAGCTGTCGCCATGCGACCACGGGCAAGCTCCTTCCTCGCCGCCTTTCCACTTTGTCATCGAGAAGCCAGCCTCGCAACCGCGTCAAGCGGGAGCCCCCCTCCCCCATGCCGCGTCAAGGAGGAATCGCCGGATAGCACGTTGTGCCACTTCGACCTGTCAGCATCACCGCCATCCCGCCTCTAGCACAGCAAGAAGAGGACACAGACATCACCGCCTCGTCGGCGCCCGGGCACCATGAAGGAGGCCTCCTCTGCGCTCGTGAACGCCCATGAGCGCCTCCTGCATTATCTAGGCCGGTAGCATTCCATATCTCAGACTTTGCCAAGGACTGGGTCCTCGCGCTAATAGAGGCCTGGGCCCCTGGCCAGTCTAGGACCACCGCGAAGACGTTCGCGCGGCACGGTCATCACCTCAGTGACCAGCTCGCCCAAACTTGGACATACATGGCCATTGAATGAGTAGATTATTTTTCCTTGTTTCACGCAACGCGTATCACCTTGCGGACCTTACGTTAACTGAGGCCTGGGACCTCGACCGGTCCAGGACCACCGCGAAGACGTCCACGCGGCACGGTCGTCGCTCAATGACCAGCTCACCCAGCTCGGATGCTCTTACACCATTCCAACGTTGTTTTTGTAGCTAGTTATGCCATTTAATGAGTAAATATAACACGTATCGCCGGCCAGCTTTCGCTACGGCGGACGTCGCCCCAGACTGGGTCCTCACGGACCTTGCTTTAACAGAGGCCTAGGACCTCGACCAGTCCAGGTGCACCGCGAAGATGTCCGCGCGACACGGGCGTCGCCTCAACGACCGGCTCACCCAGCTCGAATGCTCTTACACCATTCGACAATTGTTTTTGCAGCTAGTTGTGGCCATTTAGTGAGTAAATATAACGTGTATCACTAGGCAATGTTTGCTACGGCGGATATTTGCCCCAGACTGGGTCCTTGTGAACCTCGCGCTCACGGAGGCCTGCCCTGTCGACCGGTCCAGGACCACCGAGAAGACGTCCATGCAGAACGGGCGTCGCCTCACCGGCCAGCTCACCAAGATCCACATTTGTTTTTGCAGCTAGCCATTGGAGACACACACACACACACACACACACACACACATATATATATAAATACATTTTCCTTTTGTTGACTACATACGGATATATATAAACGCAGTTTAGAGTATAAATTCACTCATTTTGCTTTGTATGTAGTCTATATTAGAATCACTAAAAAAATAAAACTTATATTTAGGAACGGATGAATAGTTTCGTATGTGTCTGATCTGTTTCTTGCCTTTTTCATAAGTGGCCAAATTTCATATCAACGTGAAGATGATGAGAAGATAGAATGGACGACTTGCTACACGACAGGAGCGGAGCGTGTCCCGAAGAACCGACCGTTCGGGCCCACTTGGCAGCAGGAGATGCTTCCCGTATCGGCCCATCGGGACCGAAGACTAGTCGTTGATACGTCGGGTCCCACCTGTCTGTATGTCTGTCTGGCTGGCGAGTGAGAGTGAGACAGACGAGAGTAGATCAGTAGACCACGCCGTGTCTCCTCGCCGCCGCTCGGCCGCTATAAAACCGGCAGGAGACAGCCACCCTCTCCCGTCTCGCCATTCGCACGTGCCACGCATCCCGCTCTCTCTCTCTCCTCTCCTCCCTCATGGCGCCCACGCCCTCCTTCTTCTTCGGCGCCGCCCCGGAGGACACGCCGGCGGCTGACGTCTCGGCCCATGCCGTGGTGCCGGGCCTCTCCGACGCGGTGGCGCGGGCGCGGCTGCGCCGGCAGGGGGCGTCCGGGCCGGGGAGGCAGCAGGCGGCCTCCCGCGGCGGGGCGCCGCCCAGGAAGACCCCGCAGCGCGGCCTCGGCGTGGCGGAGCTCGAGCGCCTGCGCTGCGGCGGCGTCGACCCGCTGCACGACCTCAACGCCGCGGCCGCGGCCGCCATGCTGGAGGCCGCCGCCGCCAACCTGCAGGCGCAGGGCAACTCCGTCGTCCTGCAGCAGCACCACGACTACCTGCCGGCCTTCGACGCCGCCACCGGCTCGCGCTACTACTCGCCGCTCCTGGTCCAGCCGCCGCCCGCCCCTCCGGCGCCGCAGCCGCAGCCGCAGGCTCCCGTCCGCTGCGTCCAGGGCGTCGCGCCGGAGCAGCAGTACTTCATGGACCGCTGGGGCCGCATGGGGGGCTTCGTCCCGGCGGGCAATGGCCAGCAGCCGCAGCTCCAGGTGCCGGCGCCAGAGTGCCCTTCAAGCCAAAGCACCATCTGGCGTCCGGCGTGCTCCTCCGCCTCCTGCCTCCACGCGGGCCAGCGCTGCGACCTCTGCTCCATGGTAGTCCGTCCGTCCAGTCCACTGCAAAAATTCGAGAGCTTTCTCTGCTCCTCCCACATTCATTTTTTGCTGTGCCAATTAACCAATCTTGTCTTCTTTCCTGCGCGTCTGTGTTGATCTTCAGACGATGGTGGCCATGGCAGATAGAGGAACACGGGGCCCTGCCACCGCCACCACCAACGCGCCATACTACTCCATCTACGATCTCGCCGCCACCATGACCGCCGCTCGCAAGGTACGTGCATTGGTTCGAGGCGTTTGCAAAGCTCGGAATCATTCATCTAGATTTGTCAGAACTGACTGATGGCTGTGTTGGTTGCAGCACCCGATCGATTTGCAGGAGACGGCCGGAGAAGGGTTCTTGGTGGCACCGGAGGGGAGGAAGGAGGTGCGGGAGATCGAGTTCTTCCCGACGAGGATCAGCAGCCACGGCGGTCCCCACGAGTCCGAGCTGCGCACGACGCCGCCTTCCTCCTCCTCGCCGTCCGGCAGCGTCGGTGGGTCCCTGGACCTGTCCCTGAGGCTCTAGCTAGGGTTTGGAGTTCCGATCAGTATCATGTCGTAGATCCATGAACGAATTGTTGGATTGCTTTGTTTTGATTGATGCTTTGTCATTTCGGGAGCAAATTACAGTTTGCCAAACATGCATGTATCGGATCGGATGAGAACGAGATGAATGCCCCCATTGCTTACGCATGCTACTGTATACCCATTTCTTTTTCTTTTGGATTTGTAATTAGCGTGTGCAATTGCAATGTATGGCAGCAAAGCCTGCTGCACATGACCTCACCCACGAAGTCCTTGAAGGTTATTAACTTTGTGATCGATCCGGGCGACGAGAGCATCCAAAGGGACAGCGGCAACATTTTTTGTCATTTCTGAAATCACTGAATGAATGAGTAAACAACCTTTCATTGCTTCATATATGTTGGGCTTGCACAAATATGCCTCCTCAGTTGGCGGCAATAATATTTGTTTTTGTTTTATTTTCAAAGTTTCATGCTTCCTTGTAATGCTACCTATGTACCCAATGCACTTTTTTTCGCGATTCTCACCAGGGTGCTTCTACATTGTAATCATTTTGTTTTGTTTGGCTAGAAAATTGCTTCCATGCATTCATCAACTGGTAATCAACTCAGTTTGTAAGTTGGCGACACAACATATGCATCCTCTTATTAGTGCCAAGTTTAGTTTATTATCTGTTATCAATGATCTCTGCTTCATACCAAGATCCTCAATGTTGAGTTCCTAAACTTTAATTATTCTCACGTTTTACCATATTGTGTTATATGAATATTGAGTTTCTTTCCATACCATGCTTCCAAATTTTACTATATATGTTTGTTTTTTTATTCTCGTTGCTCTCACTGCCCGCATAATATAATTGTAATATGTACATTGCCCTTTCGCTTCTTTAACGTACCTCTATTTTTCTTCTTCATATTTACGCCCCAGTTCCACTTAATTACTATCACATTACTAAAGGCCACAACCATTTTGCAAATTTTGCTTACTATTTGTAATGTCATGCACTAGAGAACTTAGTTCTATTTTTACTATTTTCTGTTCATATTTGCAGGAACTGATCATTACGTACCGATGTGTTTTTTACGTGCTGCTTTTTTTTTTATTGTATTGCCTAGTCATAGCTGTCATTTTTGGACCTACTCCCTCGGTTCCTAAATATAAGTCTTTGTAGTGATTCTACTATTGACTACATACGGAGTAAAATGAGTGAATCTATACTCTAAAGTGCATCTAAATACATCCGTATGTGGTTCATAGTAAAATCTCTACACAAACTTATATTTAGGGAAAATAATTATATGAGACCATGTCTCACGGGTTAGGATGTGAGACCCACCCTGATGGATGACACGTGACATTTATAAATCACAAAGCATCTACCCCACCCCACTTGAAATCAGGGGGAAGGGGGGGGGGGATTAGATGCTTTATGATTTGGGAATGCCACGTGTCATCCATCAGGGTGGATCTCACCTACTAGCCCGTGAGACCTGGCCTCATATTTTTTCCCCCTATATTTAGAAAAAGAGGGAGTAGTTTGCATGCCAACTATGGTATCAAATAAGGAGATCAATGCCGCAGTTGCAATTTCGACATGTGTAAGTGGCAATTCCTATTTCGTCGATGTTTGTCCAGTGGTTGCTGTGCACAGATAAGGGTTGGCCCAACTAGAATTCCTAGGACTCTCCCGCTCCCGGTTTTTTAGAAGGTTCTAGAACCTTCCCAAGAGCATGATTCTTTTTTAATGTTTTTTTGACATTTTTATTATTCTTTTCATCTTTTTTTTCTGTTTTCTTCTCTTTTTCCCTTTCCTTTTTCTCTATTTTCAATTTGTAAACCTCTTTAAGTTTTGTGAATACATTTTTCAAATGCAGGAACATTATTTGAATTCATGATTTTTCTAGGAAATTTTGAACATTGATAAAATCTCGTGAATAATTTTTGAAATTCATCAATATTTTTGGATTCCAAGGATATATGTTGTCCAAAATTGTGTAATTATTTCGTGAACGGAATAGCTGCACACACGACCTTTTATGCACGACAGGTGGACGATGGTAGGATCTGATGTTGCTTAGGTATGGAGGGATTCAATCCAACGATTATTAACCTATGTCGTCCATGCATCGTCCGCAAAATCATCGACTATGTAGCATTGCTCTTTCATGAATAGTCTGGATTTCATGATTTTTTTAGTTTCAGGAACATTTTTTGATTCATGTTTTCAAAAATTAATTATTTTAAAGTCGGCAACATTTTGTACGTTACCCATCTTTTGTATTCATTATATTTTTTGGAATTTGTAATATTCTTTGGTTTTGCAATATTTGTTTAAATCACAAACATTAATTAAAATTTAAAAATATTTTTTGGATTTATGTACATTTTTTCATGAACTTTTTAAATTCATGTGTATGTTTTCGTATTTACAAACATTTTTGAATTCATGAACATTTTTGGAAATTCGGAAACTCTTTTGAATTCATGAATGGTTTTTAAAACTTCCAAACATATTTGAAATTCATATTTTTTTTCTTTTAGCCTAGAGCTACAACAAAAACAGTAGAGCAAGCTAAAATACACAAGTGGTTGCGCTGGGTAAAAACACTATTGGGCCGGCCCATAGCGCAAGTTGCTGCACGAGCGCCTTCTCTTGGGCCCATAGCGAGTAGGAGGACTCGGGAGAGAGTATCAGGTGATACGGAGCCTTAGATGCTCCCATGATACGAGCTCCCTAGGAGCCGTTGGATCCGGAAGGATTTGGACATTTTGCGAAAAAGACCTTTTGAAGTCTAAAAATTGCGAACAAGTACGACAACCTTTCAGAACCTACTAGAAGCCGTTGGATCTGAGATCCGACGGACCAGAAGCTTGTATCATGGGAGCATCTAAGGCATGGTATCACCTGATATTTTCTCGAGGACTCGGTGTCAGTGTGCTAAATAGTAACAAGTGTAAGAGCAACTCTAGCATATGCGTCACTTATTGTTGATCGCCATAATAAATGCTATTTTGGCAAAAACACACAAAATGATACCGTACTAGAATTGCTATAAACAATTGTATCGTCAAAGTTTAAGGAGCTCGCTCTAAAATCGAGCCCATAGACTCCATATTTGGAGGTTGTGAAGGGCTGGTTTGGTGTGCATTCAAAACAAAACAGCTCGCGCGTGAAGGAAACTTCATGTTCTTGCTCGTCACGCCTCCACCCCTACGCTCTTTGTTTTAGGTCGCGTTGTTACTCAGACAACTCACACCAACGCAGAAAAATCACTAACAGCGTGATGTCTAAACTCTGTCGGATCCCTCAAAAAAAGAAGAAAGAAAACATCATCGGGTGACCTGCCATTATTGGCGCGACCAATCTCGATTGCCATTGTTGGAAAGCCGGCGAGGCACCCGGCTCCGACAATGGCCTCGACTAGTAGCTAGGAACGTCGAATAGCGACATTGCCTATATTTTGTTAGTATTTTACAAATGCCGCATTATGACATTTTAAGTCACAAATTACATGTAAATCCGTGGTAGATTTTGGCTCATATTATACTATCTTTTTGAAGTATTTCGAATGTGGTTTGTTCTTACTCTACTTTAATCTTTGTTTGACTGCATACTACTACTCCAGTGTAGTAACTATTAATTTCAAACAAAAGCAAAAGGAAATAGGAAGGCTGCATTATGGTGACTCAAGCTCAAACTGCTAGTGCAGACCGACGTATGTCTGTTTCTCTTTACCCAGCCCTTTCTTTTGGCCTCTGCAGAGTCAAAAGCAGGTTTCCTTTCCGAAAAGTGGCTGCAGAGGCCGAGCTCCACTGAGCTCTATATATATTTCTCAGCCAAAATACCTTTTCCATAACTCAAAAAAAATCTGAAAAAATGTTTTCATGTAGACATATACTTAAAGTATACGTGTACAAATTTTCATAAACATATATATTCATATGTGATGTATAAAAAAAAGACAAATACACAGATTGAAATAGGCTTTTTCTTTGTTGTATTTGTGTCAGATTTTTGTCTTTTTTGTGTAGCATGCAAATGATCAAATTAGTTACTGAAAATTTATACATACTTAAAGAATATGCATATGTATTTGTATAAAAAAATTGGCATTTTTTGAAACTTTTAAATATATTTTGATTTTTTTTTTGGTAAAACGGGCTCCCTGGAGCCCGGTCTCTGCGACGCCTCACTCGTTTCCTTTCCTCCCTCCCTCCATGGCTAGCTAGTCAGGGGGACCAAGCTAGAGCGCACACCTGTAGCATCTACTAGTACAAGCTGAGGTGAGGAGGATCTGCGGTGGCTGGCGGAGCGCACACACGGCGAACGGCGTGCAAGGCATGATCAATGCCACTGCCAGTGCCACAGCGCAAGGCACGCTGCTGCTGCCGCAAGCGGCTGCCGGGCGGGCGGGGCGCGCGCATGCTGCCGCGGCAGCGAAAGGGACGGCCGTGGATTGGAAACCGAAGCGAATCCCATCGCAGATACGACCCATCTCCCCCTCGACCGCTCCCGATCCCGTGCATGCAAAAGTACCCGTCTGGCCGTCTCCAAACTCCTCTCCTGGCTCTGTTTGTTTGTGTGAGATACCACGTCCACTACTGAAAGACTGTCCATGTACCCTGCTACGTACGTACAGTACGTATGTATCCTGCATGCCACTGCTTGATCCCTCCACATCCCGTTGGTGCATCATCGGTATTCGGTAAGCTGCAATTGATCATGCCAAAGCTGCAACTGCATAGAGTCCTAGTCCTGGAGTAGTAGGATTTCCGGATCCTGCATGGGCGTGCATGCGTGGGTGTCGAGGGAGGGAGATGGCCACCTGCAAACTGCAACTGATCATGGCGCCGAGATCGAGACGCTACTGGCGAATCTGTCTGTGGCAGCAGTGTGGATCAGGCTGTGCTGCATGCAAAGCAGTGCCGGCCGGTGCCTGCCTTTAACCCTCTCATCTCATCTCCTGTACCCCATCTCCTCCTGTGGGCCGATGCAAAGCA